GCGTGCCTGTAATCCCAGCTACTCAGGAGGCTGGGGCAGGAGAATTGCCTGAACCCGGGAGGCGGAGGTTGCGGTGAGCCGAGATCGCACCATTGCACTCCAGTCTGGGTAACAAGAGCGAAACTCCGTCTCAAAATAAAATAAAATAAAATAAAATAAAACCTTGAAAACTGACCTTTGTTTAGGTAAAGACATTAGAAAGAAATTTTTCCCTATGTATTGAAGGCAGAAATGATGCAGGACCTTTCATAGGTAACTTCCCAAGGCAGTAGTACAATCAAACTCTGATTTCATTCCACAGATGGCACACGTAAGCCTCTCACGAAGTTCATAAATGGTCCTGACACTGACTCTTATGGTCCAAACTCTTGCCACATCACCAGATGTTATGGATGGCCCAGAAGTCAGCCCTGAGCAACTTGGATTTGCTCACTTGCCCCTCTCACTAACTGATAGGCACCAAGGATTACATGGAGATGGCATGGTGAATATTCCAAAAATGTGGAATAACTTGGCCAGGTGACAAAATCAAGCCTTATAGCCGCCAAAACCAAACTAAATTGATATTGTGCAATCTGTTCAAGCTCAAAACACTTTGGAAACTGTAGTTCCAGAAGTGACTATCTGACCTGCCTTTTCCTGCATATAGCAAACCATAAACCTTCCATGGAGAAAGATGCCTTCCCTGTCCCAGGACAAGAAAATAACCCTATCCCCAGGATTGGAAATTGTTGCTGCAGTAGACCTGTACAAATAAAGTAATTCTTATCTCCCACTAGCTTTATAGCTCCTCCTTGACACTCCCCACCAATATATCTCCTAGTGACTTCCCTGGAATTCACTGTCACTAGCTTAGATCCTTTTGTGGATCAATAAATTCACAAATGTATTGTTCTTTTTCCAAAAGTATAACAGCTTTCTGCTTTAGCCATGATTTTACATCTTCACACTCTTGAGAGGATCTCTATGATATGAGTGCCCCCAAGGGGCACAAAACAGGTAGTCATGATGGCAGAGATAGAGGTACATTGGGCCCAATAGCATGGACTCCACTTGCCAAGGGAGTTAATCAAGACACTGCTGCCATGAAATGTCCAACTTGCCAGTGACACAGATCAAGGCTGAGGTCCTGGGAAGGGCCTACTCTTCAAGGAAACCAAACAGCAAATTAGTGGGACATTGACTACTTTGTATCCCTTTAATCCTGGGAGGGCCAGCCATTAGTTCACACAAGAAAATATACGTATTCTAGTTATAACATTGTCTGCAGAGCTTGAGCTGGCATCACTACTGATGGCATATGGATTGTAGGATCTTTTTTTTTCTTTTTTTGTTGTGTCTCTGCCAGGTGGATTGTAGGATCTTAAGCATGGAATCTCACGCAAGTCGGCATATGAACAGAGGATTCATTCATTTAGTGTATGAGATGCAGGAATGGTACATAGCAATGAATTATATTGTTTCTATTGTATATCAAATATTAAGTAGCATCTATTCTTCCAGAGTGCTTAGAATGGCCCGCAGAAGGCAGAGCCAGAGTGCCAGCTCAGAAACAATATTCTGAAAGAACTGAGTGCCAGCCTTCACAATGCAGTGTGTATATTAAGTCAGAGATTCCTACGTGGTGTTGTATATCCAAAAGAAAGAACATATGGGACCAAGAACCAAGGAAGAGAAGCTGGGTGGCCTCACTTACCATTACATGTGATGATCCATTGATCTGCTTCTCCTCCCTGCAACTATCTGTTCTCTAGGCAGGTGTCCACAAAGAGAATGCACCTTTGCCAGAGGACCCAGAAAAAGTTCCATAGACCTGCAAGCTGCCCTCAGGGCATCTGGGACATCTTCTGTTCAAGGACC